TTCCTAATCGCGTTTTCTTTTTTTTCTCTTCTCGCGATCTTTTTAAAACGTTTATCGAATTATTGAAAGCGAAACGTTCGAATTCGTTAATTTATCGTTGGTACGATTGCGCGTAAGCTGCATTCCTTCGGTACACGCGTACTAGTGTTCGCTGGTACGGTGGAAAGAAGTCCCGCGGGACGGTAGAGGGGCAAGAAGACTTCTTTGCTAGAACCGCCTACTTCACTTCATAGACGACTTCACTTTATTGACACCACACGCTATATTGTAGTAGAAAATCTATAATTCGAATATTCAAAATCGTAAAAGTTATTTTCATTTACGTTAGGATAATTATCCAAGATTGGAAATATTTTCGAAACTATCTACACGTACATTAGTATTATCTTAACTACTCGAATACAAAATTTATAAATTAAACTATCACGAATCGTAATTAGTGTACGTTTTAGATTAACGACAAATACCACGAACAAAAATATGCGCATGAAAAATAAGCATTTTCTTCCAAATTAACCAATCGAATCTGCATTCCTTCCGCGAGACTTGTTTCCACCAGTACGACATAGTCGATAAACTCGTTCGTTCGTTGGACGAGAATATATATATATTCCGACAACTAACCTCGCTGCTAGCCAAGTTTTCATAATTTATTCGAGTATTCACGATTTCCTCGCTTTTACTATTTTTCTTCGCGTTCTCGAGTTCTGTTGACAGTAATTACTTTATCGAACAAACTAAACGCAAAACTAGCGATAAACGCAATTGCCTCTATTAAGTACTAACGATAGCCGCTAGACTCGACTCGACTCGACTCGTCTCGTCTCGTCTCGTCTCGTCATCGAGTATACCGTACGACTAAATTAATCGTGGAAAACGGTTCGAGATGGCGCGTCGAATGTTGCGCCAACTTGGTCAACATTCTATAGTCGGATGATCGTTGTAATATCTCGCGGCACGAACGAGCTATTGTGGTCGTGCTGGGACGACAGCGGCCCTTTAAAAGACACCGATTAATCTTCTTTTTCAACGACCACCACCTTTCTTCTTGTCGCCGACCGGTTAACCAGGGAGAGATGTCGGTCGGCTCTCGAAGGCCAACAGTTTCGAAGCAGCTGCGCAATTACGCGGATAATACACCGCTTTCGCCCGGAGGAAAAAAATTCTACTCGCTTACTGCTATTTCGATTGCGAAATCGAAACTCGTTTCCAAAATTTTCGACCCGATTTTCGATCGACGAGAAAAAAAAAAGAAGAGAAATTTCTTCGTCCGATTTTGTTGCTCGATCATCGTTTCGAAATTTTAAAAACAGTTCGACTCGGGGGAAAAGGAGGAGACGCGGATTTCTTCGGTCATTTTTCTGGCGCCAACTATTCGTCGTAATTCGTTCGAAGCACCCTTCGGTCTCTTTCGCCGACGTCCATGCCTTCCGTGACACACCACATCGCCGGAAGGAAACTCTCGACGAGCCACTCGCCTCGCTTCCAGACCTTCTTTCTTGTCGCGTCTCGCCGTTACTAGACGCAAACTGACAGGATAGGAAGCAACTCGATAGGCCTCCTAAAGATAGGCTTCTTTTCTTTTCTTTTTCTAAAGCTTCTAAAAAGAACGAAAATGAGGTTTTTTTTTCAAAACTTTTTTCAGAACTCAAAAAGGGGAGAGAAAACCACAAGGATCAGATTAGAACAGGATAGCGCGTAGTTTTAAAAGTTCACGGTAACGAGTCTGATCTCTGTTCGCCACAATACGTTATCGTTTTGAAACGAGGAGAATAGACGAAGAAGTAGTCTGTCCATAAATCACTCAAAGGGCAATCGAGATCACCCTGGGACCCGACGCAACGTACTCCTGCGTCGCTCTCCGTTTTTTCTTCCCTCCTCTTTCTCGAGCGAGAAAGCGCTTTCTCATTCGACCGTAAAATTACCAACCATCGCTCGTTCCGTCTCTTTACGACTCATTCTCGGAATATCCTCTTGCTTACTTTCAAAATAGTACGCGAGTTCGTTCCTTTTTTCTTCCCTTTCCTTTTCTCAAATTTCTTCGTTATTCCCTTCCTCTTCCCCTCTTCCCTTGCCCA